GGGCTGTTTGCGACAGGGCTGATGTGTGGTTTGTGCGTTGGCCATGCAGGGCTACCAGATTTGGCGGAGCCCCGGACTTGAGGTGCTCGGGTATGGGGAAGAGTGTTGCGTAGGGGGCTGGGCTTACTTTTCGGTGGGTGCGTGTCACTGAGCGAGGCGTGTTACACAAGTTCGGTGTTGTAGAAGGCTCGTGTGTGAGGAATGCTTTGGTGGTGTGTTTGAAGAAAGCAAAGAGGTTTGACGTAGATGTGGTTTTTGAGTATCAAGTAGTATTGGGCTTTGGGCTGAGTTGTACTTTGCGATGTGTTGGAGAGGGCGATACCGCGCCGAAGGGGGTAGCTCTCTTATACAAGACGGAGTACAAGACCAAAGTACTGATACGATCGCTATTCACCGCCGAAAAGACAAACCCTGACTCGCATCATTAGCCAGGGTAGTAACGGAATCTCGGAAGGGCCATACGTTTTGAGCTAAAAGCAAAAGTATAATCAGCAATCAAATGCGGCGGCAACACGGGGAAGCGGACGGTTGCAACTCCTTGCTTTGCAACCATCGTTGCACCTGGCGCGCAGAGTCCACCCCACGCCCTGATCCTGCTCCAGGGTCGCAGAATCAAGGCTGTTCTGGGGCGTCCTGTCATCATCGACGCGTCTGAGACGATGTTCTCGAAGCGAGGATGTGACAAACAAGGCGCACAAGCCCCCAGGCCCTTCCGCAGCCTCCTACGCATTCCTCGACGGCATCAGGAGCTTGCTGGGTAGAAAAAAGATGCCTATCGCTCTATCGTAGACGGCCCGAACCAGCAAACCAATACCTTGCGATACACGGCGGCGGTCCGCGGGTAGGAGCCGACAAGCGCATGACGTGGGCAGGCAAGACACCACAGTGTCCTTTGGGCGGCTGTCGCAAGCAAGGCATCATCAAAACCGGACCGAACAAGTCAATTCTCTGACCGCTTGTCCGATATGCAAGTGTATGCACATCCCACGCGAGGGCTTGCGGCAGAGCAAGATGGGGTAAGTGGAGCTTCCGGGCTGCATTCCCCGGATACCAGCAGGCTGGGATTCGCCCACTCGAAAAGGAAGACGAGGCGTCTGGAACTTTGTCTCTCCACCTTTGATCAGCGGGATGCGCATTACTGCTTGATTGCTTGATGCCCATCCAGGCACAGCCTTTCGCATTCGCAACGGCTTTTTCTACCGCTTATCATCGACTCATGCTCCCTGTGAGTCGGATGCACCCAGATAGGCAAGCCGTTTTGGGTTGCGACGCGGAAAATAACATCTGCAATGCAACGGCTGCCCGGCTGGAATGAAGCTTCGAGAACGCTGTTGGAAGAACGCTCGAGCCGACAGGTGTCACGACCAAGGCGTCACTGACGTTTGTGCTATCGTGCCGCCCCTTTTCTACCGGTCGAAATTGCGGCAGAAGAGTGACATCTCAGATCTCAGACCTCTCTCCGTCCTGCGTTGGCCGCCCTGCGCAAGGCTAATCCACGTTGTTCTCGCCAAAGGTCCAAGGAATCGCTGATCGAAGACTGATCGAACAGGTTTGGCGCCGCAAAAACTCGTGTCAGCGCCAGTCGCGTTGCGATCTCGATGCGCGACGCGTCCTCTGCAAACAGTTTTCTCTCCGCATCATCCGAACCATGACTCCATGTTGTCGTTGAATATATCGACATTATTACCGGGCGACTATTCCTGGCGTGAACTTTCTTTGCTTCTTCGTGTCTAGCAATAGCCCGAGCCAAGCTCGCCTGTCATGGCATCATACCTAGGTATTGTCGAGACGCCGAATAGGAAGCCATGGAAGCCGCGGGTTAGACGCGAGCTAACGCGACCTCAACGTCGTTTCATCGTTGGTAATACGACGTAGCCATTGCTCTTTGGCAACATCCGACATGTTTCGTCCAAGCCTTATCCTCGCCGCCCGCTTTCCCCGGACTGGTGCATAGCCTGATCTGGGGAAATTGATCCTCGTCCTTGCCTTAGCCCTGGGCGGAACAAACTTCCCCCCGCTATACTGCGCAACGTTGCCAACCGGGACCACGGACAACAAGTCGTACGATGGCGCGCCGCGTCGCGCATACGTAAATTCGTGTCGCATCCGAAAGCGGGTTGTGCCATTAGCGAGATGGGGGTTTTGAGATGTCGCTGTGGTCCCCCGATCTTCTGCAGCTTCCCGACGATATTCCGCGCGTTATCTGACCGACTGTTGAAGGGCTTTCACCGCAACTTGATCGACGACGCGAGGGAAAAAAGTTGAGAGGAAGTGGGGTAGGTCGTAGTCGATGTGTAAAGAGAGGGAAATGAGGCTTCGCGTCTCTAGGCGTACCTTCCTTGGGTGGGTTCTGGTAGTCGACTTGCTACATCTGGCAACTGCACGTAACTGCTTCATTCGCTGGTTCATCACCTCGCATTCCACCGACTTTGATGTTGGAAATCCATCAGTTTGCTGCCTGATCGCTCAGGTGTCGTCGTCGGTCGTTTCATCATCAACCATGACAACGTCTTCTCGGTAATCTCGCTTCATCCAGACCTGTGGAAATGTCAGTACTCGGTATCGGCTAGTACAGAGGGGTCAACACTTACACTGTGATCCTCTACAGGCGTGTCTGAGAACATCCCTTTGGCAACCTCGTAACCGGGAAGCGCGTCGAATGATCGGGCACGTCGCTTATGGGCTACCTCTGACCTTGCGCGAGGTCTCTTCCTTCGACCTTCCGATTGCTTCTGGTCTCCCCTGTCCTCCTTGGCTGTGCCGTATGCGCTGTCATTGCTGTCGTTGGGCGCCACCCAAGGAACATCCCCGTCGATCTTCCTCCGCTTGCTTGAGTACGCTTTGGAGGACTGAACTTCCCAAGTGTCGACATTTTCGTCTATCTTCTTCCGTTTGCTTGAGTCTCCCCTTGTGGAATGACTCTCCCAAGGATCGACGTTCACTTTCGATGTCGCGAATTTGAACTCAGAAGGCTGCATGATTTCTGGGCCCTCAGGCATCTGCAGCCACTCCTTCACCACTTCGTGATCACGAGTATCGCTCATATATCCAGTGTCTTCTGGATCCGGACCTTCACCCGCCACTGAAAGGAAGCCAGACTCCTGGTCCCATGAGTTGCAGTCGTGGACCCCTGCTTCTTTCGCCTCAAGTCGGGCTTTCTTCAGCCATTCTTCCCCTACCGTCAAGTAGTAACGGAGATGTCCCCCCGTTTTCAGGAAGGCTGCACCGAATCTCTGTTCTGCATCCGCTCTACTCAAGTGTGGGTTGCTCGAGCAGAAATTATCCAGCTTTTCATCAAACGTCTTGTAGTGCTGTTCGAACTTTTCTTTCCTCTCCCAATAACTCTTCTCACATCGCTCGAGCTTCTTGATGGCCTGCTCAATCCTATCCCACTCTTCTTTGGAACTTTTGACATACGGATCTTGGTGGGGAAGTGCTTCTCCGGTCTCTTGTTCGATTCTGACTTCTTGCACTTCATGGACTGTCCGACCATCAGCATCGACATCATTTCCTGGTTCAGCCATACCCTGCACCTCTTGCGGGTCTTCGAAGTGGATAGCAGAATAACTCGTTATGATGGATGGCGAGCCACCCCTGTCTTCCACTGGCGGGTCCAACGATACATCATGGTTGTCAGCAGTGATGTTGATGGACTGGGTCTCGGCTTGCTGATCAAGACAGCCATGATCGATAACAATGCTACAGACGTCGGCTTGCGAAGCCTCTACAGGCTGGGTACGGATGGGAGAGTTGCCGCTTTCGATTCTTTGGGCGGCGCCTGGCGAATTGTTCGACTGAACATTGTTCACTTCTGGTATATTACTGTCTTGCTGTATCAGGGCTTGTCCGTGCTCCTGTATCTGGTTCACCACTTCTTCCTGGACGATATCATGCCCATGCTGCTCTGATATGATAGGATCACCCTTCTCCTTTGGCAAAAGAAACGTATCCTGGAGCTCCATCACGACTTCAGCAAATAAGCAAAGATTCTTATCGCGTTCCTTCGTAAGCGATTTGACCAATCTTTGCATCTCTCGTTTGGTCTTCATAGCTGCGTCGCGCTCGCGCGAGAAGACCTTCAGGCAACGTTGCTGGGCTTTCGTTTCTCCGCTGCCACTCAGATGTTGCATCCGATGATTCATCCTCTCGATAGCCGCCTCTTTGCATTGGATTGTCGACCGGGCGTCTTTTTCGTTTAACTCCACCATCGCGATATCCGCTTTGATCGAATCCGACTTGGACCGGAGCTTCAGCATTGTTTCGTATTTGCTTCTTCCAGACTGGACGGAGGTGATCAGAAGCTGTGTAGGCAATGACGACATGTCGATTTTAGATAAGATTGACTGTCCTCCAGCGACATCACCGGTACGTCCATTATCGCGGGGAATGTGGCCTTCGCAGTGACGGAGGAGAGGAATATAGCCCGCTACCGCCCTGTACAGGCTTATCGCGGTCTTTAAAACACCCTGAGTGGTAGACATGTCCAGAAGTTTGTGGTATAATGTAAGCCGGATGTCGAGTAAAAGCGTCAATCGTCAGATTACGAAAGCCGCCACGTTTGGATGTCTTATTCTCGACGAGTTTGATATTAAGGCGAGAAAGTTGTTGTAGGACAGACGATTACGGAGAGAGTGCGCAGATTCGACTACGCAAAATACTTTATAGGCTAGGTGAGCGTGGAATGTGCGCGGTGTCCCTCCGCCGCCCTATTCACTATGCAACGCCAAGAATTCGCTCACAGGTAAGCTGTTGCCATCTCCGAGAGCGAAACGATACCACACGACCGAAGTAGCTCCAGCGATACCCCCTAGTACATGAACACAGCGGGCTAACTGTTTGCCATATCAGCGCAGAATCCTACACTGCGGAAGTCCAATATCCAGCGCCGACCAATCTAAGCGCTCGCTACTTCAGGCGGCTCTACCAGCGGCGTATACCCTCTCTCAGAACTTTGTCACGACGCCTGCTCCACAATCGCGCATCGACAGTCAAGCGCGCCAATGATGTTATCTGCACGAGAAGTCTCTGGGCCTGAACAAACCGGCGGGCCCCGGCGGAGAGAATCCCAGGAAACACGATGGAACAATCACGCCCCTGTCGACAAGGATAATTACAAGAGGGGCACAATTGTGAACTTCCCTCATGTGGTCCTTTGCGAAGCGAATGACCCCAATGCTGTCCAGACGCAGTTTGGCTGGTTTTGTTTCAAGACGAGATACGGTATCGTCATCGACAACACCACCGAACTTGAGGTCCTAAAGCTCGGCACTTCCGGAGGACGCGGACCATTATCGAAGCCCATACAAGTCCGCGTGGATTGCTTCGGTCTCAAGAAAGCAGAAGATGCAGAATACTACTGCTGGGACGAAGAGCTGGGCAGTAAGGTCGCGTGCACCCCAGAAAAAGGCGTCTATGACATAGAAGTAGGTTGCCCATACCAACCCAAGACGGGCGCCTTTGGAAATGTCTTAGACGTTATTCCCCTCCCACATGACTCCCGTATCGAAGTGTGCGGAGAGATTAGGGAAGACGTCCTCAACGCGATTCTTAAGAAGCGCAATCGAAGGCTTCTACAGAAACAAAGCAGGAGCACCCCCAAAGACATGTGGATTGAGGAGTTGGAGGCACGTCTGGACAAAGACAAGCATGCTCAGCAAGATGCAGATGACAAGGCCCGCCCAGAGCAGATGAAGCAAGATCAGCAGTCCAGTCAAAATCGCCAACAGAGTGCTCAACTCCAGGTATGTCTTCGAGTATTAGGTAGTTCTCGAGATCAAAGCTAACAATGTTCTAGGACCAAGGTCTGCAAGGACGAAGTGTTCATGGAGTCTCTCGGCGCCGAGCTCCTGACAGTGACACTACAATGAGGACAGCCCCTACCAAGTGCGCAAAGACCGATATCAGCATGCTCACACCCACCCCCGCGATTCGAGACAGCAGCCAGGCCGAAGCGATCAACGGCCGGCGCAACAGTTCGCGATGGCGCGGCCCGTCTTACCAGCTTCCGCCTGACCGCGTTAACGGAGCTCGACGCTTTACAGGACCTGGTAGCAACGACGGTAGCAACCGCCCCCCGCAAAATGCTCCACGACAACCACGCCGAGGCAACTCACGCCCTAGTCGACGGTCCTCTGGGAGCCATGGTAACATCATTGAGGACCAGGCGCGAGCCAATGGACGTCCAGAGCCGGCCCCAGGCAACGATGATCGAAGCACCGAGACCCGGCGTAAGCGCAACAGTGGTACTGATGGTCGGTATGGTAATGATACTTAGAGAGCACGGATAAGGCCTACAGACTGTGTTGGTTTTCCTAGTCTCGAGCAACACAAAGGTCGAAAGAAAGCGGGATTTTTTCCTTATACCAAACTGGTATTCCTGGCTCTGGAGCTCTGAGAGATTCCATGCGATACCCATCCAAGGCGTATATACCCATCAAATTCATGTCTACACGATCGCTAACCTGAGTTAAGTGTACTACCCGCTGATCTAATTTGACTCTAGTCCTCGGTGTCCTTCAAGCCACTGCACTGCCATCTGCTCAACATGCTCCTGCAGCTACTAACCTGATAAGGTCTAGCGCTCTCTGCGGCTCTCCGCAGTTCATTGGTCAGAACTGTCACTCAATCAAGCCACAGACGTCTGCACAGCCCACGCAGTCAGCAACACGTTGGCGCGCGCATCTTCCCCGCCTTGATTCAATATGCTGTATTAATTCCTTATCGCGATCACCACAAACCTCACATAGTCCACAGGGCCTCCCAAGGCTTGATCGTACGCCGAGTCTACTTGATCTGCTGCATGGTGCCTTGGTAGGTGATACAGGTGATTGCCGTATACATGGCACGTACTAACATGTTAGGTCGAGGCGCAAGGCAGCCGTGGAGCGGACATGTCTTCCGCAGCCAACCCGGCGTTTGACGACTACCAATACCAGCCACTAGACCGTGCGACACAGCAAATCCGACTTGTCACGCTTCTGGATCCGCTGGTAAATGACGATGCTATACGTCTCGACATTGAAGTCTTCGAAATCTCGGAAGCACCGCCATACACAGCATTGTCCTACGTTTGGGGTCCACCACCGTCGTATAACGACATCTACATCGCGGACGGACGGCTTAGAATCCGCGAAAACCTGTTCAAATTTCTCACTGAGTTCCGAAAATGCCGCGACAAGACGCCTTCGGATCGCTACATGTGGATTCACCAGCTGTGCATTGATCAGTCGAGTACTGTTGAGCGCAACCACCAAGTTCAGATGATGAGCGACATATACAGCAAAGCTACGTCAGTCGTTGCTTGGTTGGGCGACGGCTCTGAGAAACCCAATTCACATACCAAATGGCTCGCCGAGGGCGGATACGACAAGTTCGAAAACACGTACGATGCTGCATGTGTATGGAGGGATACAGCAGAAATAGCGGCATTTACTTATGTCCTCCACAACAAGTACTTTAGGCGACTTTGGATTGTACAAGAGTTCATCCTAGCGAAACAGATCAGGATCCTAGTGAAAGACATGTGGCTGGTGGATGGCACACGGAGACCGGAGTGTCATTCTGAAACCTTCTATGACTATATTCGCCAAAACGTACCTGCAAGCGTATATAGGATTATGTGCAATAGTTCTTTGCGGAGAACCGGCGGATTCATACATCTCGGTATATTTGACGCACTGGACAGGTATGTGGTGGGGAATGAATGCGCAGACCCACGCGACAACGTCTACGGTTTACTCGGGCTGGTAGATCATGACCAACGCGTCACAGTCGATTATGAGAAGTCGATTGATCAACTCTTCATGGACGTCGCTCTAGCCGCACTTCGAAATGAATGTCTCGAGGGATTAGCGGCAGAATCACCCAAGAATAGAGCTTTCACGCTGTGTTGGCAAGCTGCTCTTGGGATGGATATTACGTGGGCCCAGAAGAGAAACTTTTCTTTTCAATTTTATAAACTATGTCAAAGTTATAGACTGGGACGCTTTCGTGGTCATGCTTGTCCGATCACCGCAATAGGCCTTGAAGAGGCCGCAATGACTGGTTGTGAGGTAGATCAGTTTTGGTTTGACTTCCAAGGGACAAGACATTTCATTTACTGTACAGATAAAATAACGACGCTAGCAGATGAGACGGAACGGCTGTTGCTAGAGGACTGGGAAAAGTATGTTCCTCGAGATCATGCAGATGAGACGTCGTGACTGTGCGTGTACGGTCATCTTGCAAGAGCAAGTCGGGCACATTATTGACAGGTCATCGACGGTTCATGATGGCCTACAATTCTATTTGTGTTCTGGTCAAGAGCTGGGTAGTACGACATCCGCAAGTGAGTGTCAGCTCTACGCATCAACATGCCAGCGACATTGCCTCTCTTGCCATAACTTAACATAGAATTCCATTGTGCAATTTTGGAGCGGTGTGCTTGCACTATGATAACAATGTTCGGCTGGCCGCCTTTATTTCACTATAGTCAAAGCGGTTACATAATGTCTTCTGCCACTTCCCTCCTCATGATGCAACCTGTTGACCGCCGCCTACTAAAGAGCAACATCGATATACAGCGACCCAGCAACCCACAACAACGCAGCAATATCAATGGACATGTCTCAACGACCCAACATCGAGCTTTCCGGCATCCTGCACCAACGCACAGGCGTCCCCGCCGATCACATCGACCCCAACCACCCCTACTTCCCCCACGACGACGAAGCCCAGCTGCCCCCACGCCCATTCTACGCACGGCACTCACTTTTCACCAAGAAGAGATTCATCATCCCCACCTGCACGACACTAATCGTAGCCCTACTCATCGCCGCCCTACTCGGCGGCATCAAAATTGGTCTGTCCAGGTGTCCCCACGAACCACCTCCGGTCTACCAAACAACTACTCTTACATCCACACCAGTCCACACAACGCAAGATCCAACGACTATAACAACAACGGTACGTACGACGCCTACGAAGACGGTCCCGTTCGAGGCGCCGGTTCGACAGACGCCGGTGAAGCCTGTGGAAAGTATTTGCAGTGAGAAGGGTAGTTGGCCATCTGTAGAGGAGTGCAGAGGTAATTGCTTCGCAGATGGGAAGTTCGAGCGGGCGATGTGTGTACCATGGACGGGAGGATTTACGTGTAGGCTCTGTTCGTCTGCGCATGCGTAGGCTTTGGAGTTTAATTGAAGAAGCAGCAGATTTGACGCCGTGGTAGTAATGCTGGATATATAGCTGTGAATCGAACATTCTTTCAACATCATAATCTCTAATATCGGTAGCACGAATAACGACTCAAACGTCTCATATGTAGCAATCTACACTTCGGTGATGTCAGTACACATGCTGCAGTGTTCTCAGCACGGCTATCGGTGTCTTGCTTTCTTTGTGATGTAGTTTGGCATTGTGTAGCTACAATCTTTGGGCGTGTGCACTATGCAACTCATCGCTGGCTCAGCGTACCCTTCGCAAGACCAGCATCTGTACTTCCCTGATCACAACTATCGTACCACAGAACCACATTACTAGCTCAAACCCGCAAACCAAGGGTCTTTTCAGTCGTATCATGTCCAGCATGCATAGCCACGACGAAAAGATCAGCCTTCCAGGGACCGAAGGCTTCGCCCATCCATCAACACCGTCAACAAGAGACTCTTGGGAGGATGCTAGCAATAGTGGCTCTGATAAAGAACGAGCTCCGCGCTTTCCAACCCCAACGATACCCGCAACACAAGCAAAAGCCCCAACGTCTTTCCCCAAGCACCTCCCATACCGCCTCCCACCGCCGCCTCCATGGAAACGTCTGTGGCTTAGCAGTACCTTTCGCATCGCTATGGCCTTATCCTGTTTCCTCATCATCTTAGCTGGTGCAGCCACAGGCGCAGCCTTCCTCATCATCTTCCTTCAGAAGGGGAGCTTTCACCCAAATGATGGTGCTAGTATAGTGCGCTCTACAAGAACGATACAGGTTACTGTGACTACCGTCATTAGCGAACAGATGAAAGAGACTGGGACAGCAATTATGACGACGATGCAGACAACACACGCTCCGGTGACTACTGGAGTTGGTGGAATCGATAAAGAGATGGGACCTGTGACGACGACGATGATCTAGAAGGAGTGGAAGTGGGTTGTCATAAGAGGGTCACTAGAAGGACTTAGCCTGTGGGCACGTTGTGTCGATGGAGATTACGGAATACAATACAGTAGACACCAATTTGCTCAGCGCTGTGATTTAGAACCATGTGATTACGATATAAAAACTACTCTACTGACTATGTTTGGCTTTGTAACTATCGTATACACCCCATCATGATGCCCTGAAGCCCCACACTCACCCATCGCGAGGCGGAAATCGTGAATCCCAGTGCTGTCCGTATGTTCCAGAGAGATATCTAAGACGCCTCTCAAAGCCTTCAACTGTGAAACTAGCATTCTCTGGTGTGATCACGTACCTCCAAGGTCCTTCGTGCATGACCGAGAAGGTGTCACCGCTATCGTTCCTGACCTGTGAAGCGGAATAAGCCGGATTGACGACGACATGGATGTGGAGGCCGAGCTTGTGAAGGCGTTTGAGCAGCTCGAAGAAAACACGCAGAACGCGTCGCACTTGACGGAGAGTTTGAGCCTTTGTACCGTGACCCGTCTCGATGATGATGAAGATCTTGGCGCCTTTGCTGAGTTTACACAGTTCCTCCAGGCGAGCGTGAACAGCCTCACGGTCTTCCAAATGATGCTCTGTCAGTACCAAACTCAACCTTCGCATTTTGCAAGCAAGATCGAGGCCACCGCGCTCGTCGGCTGCGTAGTGCTTAAAGACCCTGCCCAGTAGCTCGTGTCGAGCGCGAAAGTCGAAACGGGCGTCTTGCGTTATCAGCTCACTTATGATGTCCATGTGCAGTCCGATACCAGTGTAGTCTTCTTCGAAAGCGTGTCGTAGAGTCGAGAGGCCGTTGACAACAGAGATCTTGCCATCTTTGCTGGAGAGGAAAGTGATGGAGCTTTCGGTCAAAAGATGCCGAGCAATGATGTCGCGTAGTTCCTGCGGCAGCCGGTCATGGACAGCTTCGCAAAAAGGGCGACAGATGGCCTTGGCCTGAGCCTCTACCTGATCGGTGAAGCTGGTCCGTGCCAGGCGTAGCTCTCCTCCAGCCTTCCTCGACGCTTGCTTCTCTTGGATGAGCTTCGCTTTGGGGTTCGCTTTCTTCATCTTGTCAAGTTTGGCCGCCTTGTCATGGAAAGCCTCGCTAAGCCCGGCAATCGAGTTGAGGGTCCTCGCAGTTGTCAGTCTTGTGCACGTAGTGAGCAGGATCAAGCGTACCTTTCTGCCTCAATACGCCAATTGCCGGAGCTCACTACGTTGATGGTGGTCATAACGGCGATTTGTATGGAGGTGTCTGTGTAAGCCTTGCTCGTGGATGTGATAAGAGGGAAGGATCAGTGGATGTTCGTGGTGATGCACACAAAGTCGCGATATGTTCAGTAAGCGACGCGAAGAGGTTCTCGGCGGCGGCTTAACGCGACAGAGGTGATAGCTGCGGTTGCAATGAAGCGCGACGAAGTTTGGTGGTTGTTGTTGATTGCGCACTAGATAGCGCAAACGGACGCCGGGGCAGTCACGGCCCGGTCACCACGTGGATGACGCGTGACGAGAGATACGGTCCAGCCAAGCATAACAGCAACAGCGCGCATTACAATCTGTAAGCCTTCACTGGTGATGGCCTCCGATGTATGTCAGCTGGGAGCCAAAGGCTAGTAAAGGGTTGGGCACTCACCGCCAAGCCATACCTGTGACGTTCACAGGCATGCAGTTTGTTTCCTGCTCCAACGTATCCATCTCTTCTAGACGATACTGAAATTCGTCCACCAAGCCGCGGTAATCTCCAAAACCAGCAACGCTGGCACCGACAACGTAGCCAGCCTTTCTCAACCGGCACAGACACTCAATCATGGGGGCAGTACCCTCCAAGAGGAGAGCATCTTGACCATCATCGGGCATCGCCGAGGTATCCAAATACTCAAGAAGAATGAGTATCGATGCACCGGTTCGCAACTGAAACAGTAGCTCGAGATCTAGAATTTGTTCTTCCCAGCTTCGAGGAGAATACATCCGATAGAGTATACTACCAGGAGGGTCTTTCTTCGGGTCGAACGCTAGAAAATCTGGAGATACGACGATACAGATCTTCGTAATCAGCTTATAACGCGGGGAGTGTATACAAGGGGCGTCTTCGTTAAGGAATCGCCTCAGATCCACTCTGAGGCGCCACTGTACATTGAAAGTGTTTGTGCGGTACCAGACAGCCATCGTTCTCGCCAGCATGGTTTTTCCGACATACTCGACGTTCCAGTAATGCGCGGCTGGTTGATGGTCTCCATAAGCATATATGGGCTCGCAAGTTCCACCCGCTTCGACGCCCCTGCGACTGTGGCCTATGAGGCGTTCGATTATCATGTCACAAAGCTCTGGGGGCAGCGAAATGAGGATCTTTTGGCACATGTACCTGCAAGACGCTTGTCCATAGCTATCGAAGGTTTTCATCTTTTTCATGGCTCTTCCGACGGCCTCATTTTGTCCATAGCTATTAAAGGTTTTCATCTCTTCCATGGCTCTTCTGGTCGCCTCATTTTCTCCAGAGGTAAATCGCGATTTGATACGCTGACGGGCCCTGGTAGTTTGCGTCAATGCTAATCCGGATGGACGAGGATTGTCTGGACTTACGCAACAGCCTGTTGATACAGCTTCAACACTTCTTTGGCAGTTGTTTCTTGACGCATGGTCCTATCTTTCCTTGGTGATGATTTTTTGGAGTGCGAAAAGATAGCACGCAAGGACGATTTGGCATCATGTGGGGCTAGGCAGCAGCGCGGGTATCTAGATGGCGTCTTGGCACTGTAGCACGCATCCGCGGGGCGTAGATGTCATCCCATTTAGATCATGACAGTTGCAGCGTGAAGTAGTAGGTGGTGTGCGTCTCCTATTCATTGTCAACCGAGAGCCTACCGCCATGTTTAACCGGACACTTACAGCCATACCAGGTTTGAGCCATGCCCAGTGGTAAAGCAACTTCGCGTATCATTGGTCGACTTTTCCGAAACCGAGTCATAGAGTGAGCCGTTGTTCGGCCATGTTGATGATAGCATGATGCCAGTGGAAAGGCCGTATCCAGCAGCCGCCAAACGTGACAGTAAGTCAGCTATAGTGGCGGTAACCTCACGCAATACCTTTTTTTCGTGATATGCATACCGATCTGGTGTCCTTGCGAGTATGGTGTAGTTATGGGGTACAATGACATAGACATGGATGGAAGCGCCTTCCTTCAACAAGAACAGGTGCTCCAGTCGTTCTAGCATACGTGTGCGGGATGCGGAGTCCCTCACCACCCCGCCTCCAGATGGCTGCATGTGAGTCCCCACGTCTCTGAGGTCGAAGGCGATACTGATCTTTGTGACAAGCAGCTGGCGGGTTGTGTCCAAGGGCGCTGGTTGTGACGAAAGGAAGCGTTCGAGATAACCCAGATCCTGTCCAAAGTGAAAACGAACCAAGCGATACCAGACTTCGAGTATCTCTTTCGAGGTCGCGTCGCCAACTTTCTCGGCTTGCCAGTAGCGAGGGCCCGATTTGGAGGAAGTTGGCTCGCTTGTCGGCAATGCAGCAACGTCGCGTACTACTGAAGACAGGATATACTCGTAGATCATGTCTCTAAGTTCCCTTGGTAGTGTCGCAATTACGTTGTCGCAGAGTTCCCGACATGCAAACTCGTGGTTGGTGTCCATGGTCTTTGTGGCGGAGCGTCCGGACATTTCCATTTCGTGTTGTGAGATCCTTACAGCAGTGGCGAAGCAGCCAAGATGAATTGCAGGCGCGCTTTTCGAGGCGAAAGGAGGATAGAGCGTCAAGATTACCAAAATTACCGGTCACGATGAGAGAGCCGGGAGGCGGAAGGTCAGGGGCGCAGAGCGGGGTTATGTAGCACCTGCGCCTCGGCGCAGGCATATTCACGACAGGCTGCATGGGTACCTATTATTCTGCTTTCGTTTGTTTTGATCCACATCGAATCCATCAAAATCATGTGGCGTTCAGGCTGGCGACTGTGGTTTCACTTCATGACAGCTTGGAGACCGATGTGATGCGGAGGCTCCCTAGGAAGCTAGGTAGCGTGGAAGCTAACCAGGTTTGGGCAAACCTCACGCGTGATCACGCGCTTCTCGGCGCGTCGTTCCCCGCAGCTGTTCCAGGCCGCCTGGTTAACACACCAAGACGTCGCTCGGCTCTCCAAGGTTGCCATCGTCGATTGCCATGTGACTTCGCGTGACGTGGGGTTCAGCTAGCGGATCCCAACGCGACTCTTCGCTCCGTGCAACAAGACAGACCGCGTCGACTGAGCAGCACCTCCACAGCTTCCTCCAACACCACCACTCCGAGAGCCACACTCTCTCGCTCAAGACGCAGATATGCCGAACGCCAAGGATTTGCCGAATGAAGGGACGTAAGTGGAACCTCTCCCGAGTGTTGGAAATGTGTTGACGCATTTGTAGTCTGGAGCAACGCCTACGCCATTACCTTCGAGCGAAGCAGAACCGCACACAAGTCCTGTTGGCAGATGACAAGCGTATTCGTGACAGAATCAACGAGATTCAGGCCGAGAAAATGTTACTCGAGGACGAATGTATGTTGCTCGAGGATGAGCTAGAAAGCAATCTGAGGCAACGTCTCGAAGATCGCGAGGGCGAGCCACTTCTGCAGGAGCTGATGGCAGTGGAGCAAAGCAAATGTCGTCCGGTATGCGAAGCTATGCAGCTGAAACTACCACGCGAAATTCGCGACATGATCTATGAGCAAGTTGTCGGCCCCCCAGCCTGGCACAACGGCCAACATACTGTACCTGTGGTAGCATCGAAGGATCTCGGTATCTCGGACGCATTCAAGCTTGTCAGCAACAGCATCGGTCTGCTGGCCAGCGGCGGATATGACCACTTTGGCAAGGCCACACTTCAAGAGTTGGCGGAGTACTGGTACACAAGAAGTACATTCGACTTCGGCACAGACTTACATCTCATCAAAGCCTTCTTCAACAGTGTTGCAGTCGGTACTAGTTGCAAAGCTCTTGAGATAGTCCGCCAGTTGGAGATCACAATCGACTGCAACGACGAGTTCGAGCCGGAAACCGAGCGACTTCTGGCCCGTGATCTGGCGGATCTTACACTACGGATCCAGCCAGCACGGTTACGAATTTACCTACGCGACATCCAGGGCGTTGTGCGCTATAATGACGACCGGCTCCTGATCTTACTACACAATGTCAGGCAACTGCTTCCGGACCTTCCTGGTTGGACGATCGAATTCGTTGTGCACGTGGTCACGAATGACTGTCGATTATCGCGAGGATGGCAAGGATATGCATTCGAAGATATCATACCAGGGCATCACGTCAACCTGATGATACCTGGGAATACAGCTATGTCACTCGATGAGTGGTCGGACAAGTTCAGACGAGTAAGTGATGATCTTACTGTGGCATCACTATGCAAGCTGACTTTGGAAACGCAGCTTCGGAAAGAACTTGAACAGTACTACGACGATATACTGCACGAAGCAGACGACGAAGACGAAGAAGAGGACGAGGAATCGGAAGAAGACGGTACTGATGACGAGCGCGATGAATACATGCCTCTTGATAGAGATGAGCTTCTTGAAATCGAGAAAGAGTTGGGCGGGTGTCAGGAGGATACGGTTATATGGCGGGCCATGGTTGCCCGATGATTTGTGGGCTCCGCTATCCAATGGGTGGCAGGTCTCCATAGTCACCAAGGGAAGATTACGAGCTACCTTTACTTGAGATCAAGGGCCTCACGACTTCATCTTTTACCTTCTATCACTTGCCGACGGATGCGCTTACTAGCGGTCTCATCTTGCTCGCACTTACCCGACCACTAGTGCAGTGGCCCAATCCAGTACTTATACCGAGTTCTTCCACCAGAACTCCTTGTACTCTCAACCTACAGCTTCCATCCCTCGCGTCACCACATTGAGATGGCGCCTACTACAACACCCCCAAGCGAGAGTGAGCGCCTGCGCGCAAAGTGCCATGAGTGAGTTCAATTCACCGATGCTGAGCGATAGCTGACGTAGTCCATAGGGCGCTGAAAGGAGCGAGTGAGACCGAACTGGAGAGGGAAGCGCTGCAAGTCGAGCTGCAGGCGTTGCGAGATCGCGACCGCCTCATGGAAGCCAAGGTTTACGCCGACCACGATAAGGCGGACGATGCGTTCTTGGCACTTGCGCAGATGGAGTGCTTGGAGCTCTGCACCAAAGTTCACAACGCTTTTCCCCGCGAGATTCGGGACGCCATCTACAGCTACATCACTGGTGATAAAGACGTCTACATCGCTTGCGGTGATTACCCAGGCAGAACCTGGGATTGTCACTCTCTGGCTTCGGCGTGTTGCATCGCTGCAAACGTCAAAGCAGCTCGTTGGTGGAAGCCCGAGTACATGGGGGCGCAGATGGTACAAGAGATCGGAGAGAACTACTATCGCTCCTCTCACTTTATATTCGAATCCACTATCGCCCGCATTGTTCCGTTCCGCGCCATAGACCACCTGGACCTGGGCTTCGCACCGGTGGATTTCATTTCGAATGTGGAGATCAAGATCAACTGCCGCAACTACAAGTTTAAGCAGATTGGCCGCGAAGATAGCTACATTCCCGCGGACATACATTCAAGAGATGCAGACTTTGAATCGGGCTGGGTAACAGAACGTCACAGAGAAAGTCCAAAGCAGCTTTTGGTCGAGCTAGAGTTGCTATTCGGTTTCAGACATGGCACTGCGATCACTATCGATCTTTTATCGAAGCTTTGCGAGGACGCTACTCTACTTGAGCAGCAGGAGTGGATGGCATACACTGTCGTTCCGGTCATCTTCCCAATTCTCCAGCGACTCAAAGATGTCGGCTGTCGAGCCCGCATACTTCTCTCTGCTCAGAAGAGTATGGAAGTGAACTCATTCGCGTCTAAGTGGAACCCGAAATCCCTTGAAGCCATCACACAAGATGTCCAGGAGGTATGTTTGCATCGTCTCCGAGACAATTCTTCTCAAAAGGCTAACATTTGCAGTATGTCAAAGTTGTACAGGACCGCCTGTCCAAAGCTGAGCTTGACAAGGAGGTGAACGTTGAGTCTGACGAAGATCCGGATCCTAGTACAGCGTCAATATGGGACGCCACTGCTTTCGCTGGGGAGGAGGTCACGTCTGACAATGCCGACGAGGCATAGTTCTCGAAACTCTCGATGACAAGCTGAAGATCAAGGGGTGATCTTGTGGCGACGTGACAGGATGAGGGGCAGCAGTTCCACTGACTCCGTAAATGTCCTCTCCTGGTCTCAAATTGTTTACTTTCAGATGGCTATGTTCCAGGGAAAAGCGAATGGGAATTTTTGCGTGCAGTTTTGTTTGGGACGGTACTAGCTACTGGGGCGGACGAAAAAGCGATTGATGCGATTTCTTCACGATTTTCTTTCCTTACAAAAGCTCACACATCGGCCATTTTGTAGCCCTGTTAGTGGTTTCTTCTATCAAATACGAGTTTCTCTCCGAATCCATCTTAGGAGAAGCTTGATAACGCAATGTTCGCGCGTGAAAGCATTATCGCTCGCTAGGCACAAGCTGCTTTCTCACTCCTTTCCTCGCCTACAAATTGGGGTGCACCCTCAGCATTGATCGCCTGGTCTCACTACACGGTTCCACACCCAGGTTCAACCACAGCTCCATCTTGCAAAACGTAAACAAGATTACAATCCACCTTACTCGTACCAAAATGACAGCCCCATTACGGCCAGAAGAACAGGAAAAGCAGCTCCGCGACAAGTGCTACAAGTAAGTCCCGCACGAACATGGCGACATATAGCTACTGACGTACAACAGGCTACTTCATACAGAAGCCAAGCTCCTACAACGGTGGAAAGAGGAGGATGCGCGACACGAGGCTCGTAAAGCCGATCTGCAAGTACAGAAAGACAACACCGTCAACGAGCTGAACCAATACGCTCAGGTCGCCTGCCGCAACCTCTGCGACAAGATCTTCAAAGTCTGTCCACGCGAGATACGCGACTACATCTACGCATACCTCCTGCCCAACTCCCCGGTCGTCCTAGAGCATTGCGACCATCGCGATTGCGATAGCAAGCCCTGCGCCAAGGGAAGCGAAACGCTGTATTACTTCGTTGAACCCTACAGTCATCTTTTTAAAACCGCATACGTCATTCCAGAATTCTCCATAGAGCTACTCGAAAAGTACTATCGCACATCCACATTCGACCTACGAGACCAATTTGCAAGGCTAGGCGCCTTCCGGAGCTTGGATAGAGGAAACCTTGGTGTCATACCAGCCAACTACATCCTCAACGTTTCCTTGTGCATACAATGCGACAAGTACGACTTCGACGGGGTAACGGCACCGTTGGCCAGCCTGCATAGGAACTATGCCCTCAAACCCCGTCGAGCGCTGCTCGCAGACCTCGAAGCACTATTCGGTTTCAAGGCTGGCACTAAGATCGATTTACACCTCCACGTAAACCGTGACTGGTTGTTGAATGCGCACGTGGCCGAATACTGGGAATGCGACACCGTCATTCCAGTCATCCTGCCGACGCTGCGTAGGCTAGCTGCTGCTGGTACAAAGGCTAAGTTGTGTTTTGATCATTTTGGGTGGGGGGTGACTATTGATCATGGAGACGTCACGATGGAGGAGATCAAGAGCGGTTTGTCGAAGAAGATTGGCAAATGAGCCAGTTTTAACAGTTCCTTATGTTGAAGCTGGCAAAAGCTGCTGGCAATGCTAGGCGATGAGGCTGTCTGCTGCTTGCTTCTTTCCTTCCCGTCCCAACGGGTGTGTTTTGCCCTCGAATATATGGGTAGAGCTTTTGAGGACCTGATGGCTGGCGTAAGCGGAGTATGCTGTCGATCGTAAGTCATGCAGGGTCCAGACCGCATACGCAGGGCGTGAGTACCTGAATAAGCGATCAGCAGCACCCTGATAGACCATAGTACGACTTCTTGAAATCGGCACACGTTCTCTTCGTGATCTTCTTCAATCTTGATCCAACGACAAAGTATGTGCATCGTGATGTACGCGCTTCCAAAGACAGATGAGATTGGTGGTGTGGGTGCTTGTACATGCGTGCACCTTCGGAAGCGTGCTTTGAGGTACGCCAGCGAGCTCGTGGATGCGCATCTCGCACTATGTCTTGTCAGACTAACACCAACGATAGAGCACTCTCTGAAGAAAATATACGCAAAGCGCGTGTCGCGAAGCTCCAGGAGGAGCTTGCAAGCCTAAAGAAAGATCTCGCCAACACCACACCAACAACAAGAGACGCAGTCGAACAAGTCGCTTGGACGGAATGCCAGCAGCTTACCAACAACATCATGACCAAATTACCGCGTGAGATCCGCGACATGATCTACTTCCACCTCAGCACACGAGACCGCGAACTCATCGAGCGCGAACACTTCCGGACGACCCTGGATCCGATAACGAGGCTCTACTCGTACGACTTCAACAGATGGAAAGCGCAACACTTCCCCGCGCACTACTGGAACACCGATTACGTTGGTCAACCTTTTTACCGCGAACTCGTGGAAAACTACTACCGCACAAGCACCTTTCTCTTCGGCGACGACCCAGGAGTAATGAAGCGTTTCCTCATCACCGACGAGATGAAACTAGGCATTCCCCCAAAAGCACTAGTCTCCAGCGTCGAGATCGGATTGAATGCCGTCTCGCATGACCGCGGTTCGTTCCGCGCTTACATGTTTGGCATACCCAAGTCACCGGAGCGGATGCGGGAGGCTCTCGATGGCATCTTTGAACTAAAGCCTGGCGCTAAGATAGTGATTCGTTTCGTGACTGAGGCGAAGACTAAGGAGGAGAGAGATGAGCATTGCAAGGGGGCGATGGCGATGCTGTTCGACGACGCGCAGGTGGAGAAGATGAAGATGTATAAGGTTAAGTTTGTGGTGGATGAGGGGCAGGTTTGGGATTTGGCGGAGGCGATGAGGGAGGAGTGGATGGGTATTCATGGGTGAAGGCTTGCTACGAATAGAGAACATCAGTCTGAACCTGCAATCAAATGCTGAGGACGTGAGAGTAATGGGCAGCATGTGAGGGAAAGCTGCCCAAAGAAGGCCGCTAGCGTGTAACTCCTGTCAGCTCCGATTGGCCGAAGCATACGCCATCAGGGCCCGGGGGAAGGAGCACCCCGCCATGGCAGAAAATGTTATCGCGACACCCCTCAGCGTATGTTTTTACGCGTCAAACACTTTCCAAACTTCTTCAAACTTCAATTCCAACCTCGCACTTCATTTAGACGCGTCTCGATTCCATATCGCAAGATGGCTGGCGTTCCTAGCACTTACGATGGTACGCACCTTCCGTCCCGTGCTCGTCGGGCCAAATGCTTACCCTGTATACAGCGCCCGTTCACATTGCCGTCATAGGCGGCACTGGTATCTCTTCCCTACCAGGCTTCACCCTCGCCGCTACACTCGACGTCGACACACCATGGGGCAAACCATCGTCACCCGTCTCCATCCTACAACACCCGTCGCCCTCGACCGGCAAGCCTATCCCAGTCGCATTCATCTCGCGCCACGGCCTTCACCACGAACTCGCGCCTCATGAGGTCAAGAACCAGGCCAACATAGCTGCGCTGCGACACATCGGCGTGCGCACCATCATCGCCTTCTCCGCCGTCGGATCTCTCCAAGAAGAAGTGCGACCACGCGACTTTGTCGTCCCCGACCAAATCATCGATCGTACAAAGGGCATCAGGCCATTCACTTTCTTCGAGGGCGGCATGGTTGGACACGTCGGCTTTGGCGACCCCTTCGACAAGCAACTGTCCAATATTGTCAGGCAGTGCGGACACGCGCTGGAGGGAGACGGCATCACACTTCACGAGAAGGGAACCATCATCTGCATGGAGGGACCGCAATTCAGCACACGCGCCGAGTCGAACCTCTACCGTTCGTGGGGCGGCAGCGTCATCAACATGTCTGCTCTGCCTGAAGCAAAGCTCGCGCGCGAGGCTGAGATCGGATACCAGATGATCTGCATGGCAACAGACTACGATTGCTGGAGGGGTGACGGCTCTGAGGACGTCAATGTGGAGATGGTCATGGCACATATGAAGGCAAACGCCGAGAACGCCAGGCGGTTCGTTGGCGCAGTGCTGAACGAGCTCAGCAAGGAGGAGCACACGGAACAGGTGCTCGCTAAGCACCTCGACGGACAGATGAGATTCGCAGGCGCCATGACAAAGAAGGAGGGACGTGGATCAGAGGCCGAGAAGAAGCTCCAGTGGCTCTTCCCTGGCTACTTTGACTGAACGCCAAATGCTAAAAAGCGCGCCATTGACAAAGGCGCATGACATTTGACTACGATATACTCCGATATTAGCAACGCGGAAAGACCTACCCTGATCAAGAATCTATGCATGCGCCCGACGGCTGACCAAGGTTCTGGAGGTAAGACGCAGCCAGAGGCGCCGATTACGGCAGGTCGATAGCAATGGTTACCCCAAAACTCCAAACAGAACTCCATGTTTACATCATGGAAAATATGCATTAGCCGTATCGATAACTATCCGTCGCCAGCAGCCCGTTAGACATCCGCGGGCACTTGTCAAGCTCGATCTCACGATTCTTTCCCTTAGCACCTTCCTTTCTCGTCTATGATCTGCATTGCTACCTGCCGCAATCGCATCTGCAGTTTCCCAGGCTACACAATGAGCGCTCGGAATGTTTATGATATTGAGAAACGGCTGAGTGAGAAATCCGGGCTTACAGGCTGCTCGAGTACTTTGTTCGGGTGATACCGGTGTATTGCGCTGATCAGGTACCAGGGTGTGGCTAGTCAATCAGATGGACAGTACCTGCATGCCTGCCGTTACCTCACAACAACGGGCACAAATTGGAGGGTGACACCGCATATCTGTATTTCTTATCATGCAGATCAACACACTTGTAGGATCGAATTTGTATTTGCACCGCGGGGAAGACGCGCGCGCAGCATAATCCTGGTCAGACATGGGTGCACGGCGGCAGTCCTTCTCGGGTCACCACGGGAAGCATGACTATAAGACACATGATATCGTACACAGTAATGGAGCAGCTCTTGCTCGATACCGCATCCACTCGTCACTCTCCTACCGAACGGTAGCATTCGCAACCGTCATCATGGTTTCAGCGTGGTTTCTAACAAAGGTCTTTGTGGCTTTTGCGCCGCTGACGACGACCGTATACGCACAGTACAACGTCACCACACCCCAATTGCCTCTGTTGCTGGACGCTACCGCAGATGACCTGGCTGCTGGACTTGAGGCTGGAGACTTTACGAGCTTGGACTTGGTTCAGGTAGGTTCCCGGTTTTCTTGCCAACATGTGTAGGCATGGATCTACCTTGGACTGCACCGCTGACATAATGTAGGCTTATGTGGGACGCATCATCGAAGTCAACAAAACTCTACATGCAGTACTGGAGATCAATCCAGATGCCTGGACGATCGCGAAAGAGTTGGACGAGGAGCGAGCTTGTGGAAAGCTTCGTGGGTAAGTTGTGCTGCAAGAAACTGCATGATCCTTCGCTGACAGAATGCAGCCCTCTCCATGGACTCCCCATTCTCATCAAGGACAATATCGCTACCGCTGACGAAATGAACAATACTGCTGGATCTTGGTCACTAATGGGCGCCAAAGTACCACGTGATGCTACAGTCGCAGCCAAACTGAGGGAAGCTGGTGCTATCATCCTCGGCAAGGCCAATCTTTCGCAATGGGCTAACTATCGATCTTCGAACTCTTCGAACGGATGGACTGCTCGAGGTGGTCAAACGTATGGCGCGTATTACCCTGGTCAAGACCCAAGTGGCAGCAGTAGCGGTAGCGGTGTCGCTGCTAGTCTTGGTCTCGCCTTTGGAACACTCGGCTCAGAGACGGATGGATCGATCATCTCTCCCAGCCAGCTTAACAATGTCGTCGGCATCAAGCCTACTGTCGGACTTACAAGCAGAGCACTTGTCATCCCGATCTCTGAGCACCAAGACACCGTTGGGCCAATGGCCCGCACAGTCAAAGATGCAGCCTACATTCTCCAAGCCATCTCTGGACCTGACAGTTACGACAACTACACATCTGCAATTCCCTGGGCGAGCAACGCAACTAATGCCACCAAGCCCGACTACGTAGCTGCATGCACTCTGGATGCGTTGGAAGGGAAGCGAATCGGGATACCGCGCAACGCTATCGGCACACCCAGTCCCCAATCCGCACCCATCTATGCTGCTTTCACAGCTGCTCTCGACGTCCTCCGCTCCGCCGGCGCAGTCATCGTCGACAACACCAACTACACCGCCTGGGACCAGTACCTCGAATCAAACGCCGAAGGCATCGTTCTCGACGGCGACTTCGTCCCCAACCTAGCGCACTACCTTGAGCAACTCACATACAACCCCAACGACGTCCACAGCCTAGAAGATGTCCGTAACTTCACCCAAAACTTCCCCCAGGAGGACTACCCCGACAGAGACACAGCAGACTTCGACAGCTCCATCGCGCAATCCCAAAACTTCTCAAACACCGACATAGAGTTCTGGGAAGCCTACCAAGAAGACCTGTACCTTGGTGGCGAAGGCGGTCTCCTCGGCGCACTATCCACATACAACCTTGACGCCGTCGTTGTTCCTTCGCGCTCTGCTTCTGGTATCTCTGCCATCATTGGCGGCCCTATTGTTACTGTTCCGCTCGGTGCGCTGCCGCCCAACACAACGGTTGTCACGAATTCACGCGGTGATTTAAACGCTACAGCGCCGAATATTCCGTTTGGAATCTCTTTTGCGGGTGCGCTGTGGAGTGAAGAGAGTTTGATTGGCTTTGCGTATGCGTTTGAGCAGAGGACTATGGTGAGGACGAAGGTTGTGCCGTATGTTCAGCCGAGTATTGAGATTGAGAATGTGGTTGGTAGTTATTAGGTCTGAGTTGGGATGACTGGATTGCGGTTACATCAGCGGTGTATGTTGATTGGTATCTGATCGAGCGAAGCAGTGTGCTGCGGGGGAAGGTTATACCGTATAACCAGCGTTGTTGTGAGACGGGGGATTCAGTCGCTATCTATCAGATCGGACGCGGGTCGATAGGTATGAACCTGTATGAGGTTTGTAGAGCGACCGGGAGGATGTGTGTAAGGTCGGTGGATGGTTGCCACCGATTGTCCGATGCGTATTGTTTCGTCTTACATCATCGCAACCACTACGCACTGTGTTCGCAATCAGGCTTTGTCTTTGTCGTAGCTTATGTTATCCTACGCTATGTTTTCCCATTGATTGGTTTATGCTATTGCTCTCCGTAGGCCTGCGTAGCCTTTCAGGTGGAAGTCTACATTGGGCGATGCGCAAAGATTCGCACTCTTCGTATCACCACTCTCAAATTGATAGTCTATGAAGACATTGGCGCTTTCTTTCTGGAACGGTAGTTTGCTGGACAAAGCTAGCGATGTAATGAACGTGTTTTTTGATGCCGCTTCAGCGTGGCTTCTTTGCACGGCCTCGGCATTAAGCGGATTTAGCTTATGCTGGCTGACAAGACGTGGACCGTGTGAGACTTTTGTGGCGTACTTCCAGTGTTGTATACGACGTGAGGTTAGCGTCATTCCGAAAGTGTTCGTGGCTTAGGATGTGTAGCCAGGCTGTTGACGTGAATGGGATCAGGTATAAAGATGGGTGGAAGACAGCAATTGTGAGCAACAAAGCACCCATCAACTCCTTCTGCGAACTCAGTCAAAGAGATATCGCCTCCTCGCATCAATATAACTTTGGAAGCATCAAATTCGATCTGCTATGTCTTCCGCAACCCAGCAACTAACGCACATCCGCAAAGTCGCCCTCATCGGCGTACGCCCCTCCACATCCCATCCTCCATTCATCCCACTAACACCATCAGGGCACCGGACAAGTCGGCTCCCACATCCTCACCCACCTCCTTGGTACGGGCAAACACCAGGTCACAGCTCTGACCCGACATACCAGCACCGGCATGTTTCCCACTAACCCCAACCTCACCGTCGTCAAGGTCGACTACGACGACGACACAGCCCTCACCTCCGCCCTCTCCAACCACGACTTCCTCATCATAACCCTCTCCGCACGCGCCCCACCGACCCTCCACCCCCGTATCGTGTCCTGCGCCGCGGCCGCCAAGATCCGCTGGATCATGCCTAACTACTTCGGCTACGGCATCGGTGATCGCGCGCTCAGTGGCAAGGCTGACTTACCCACCAACTTCGAGCGCTACATTGACGATGTGAAGAGCACGCCAGGACTCGATTACACAGCGCTTGTATGCGGCTTCTGGTACGAATTCAGTCTCGCAATGGGGGAACCGTGGTTTGGCTTCCGGATCCGCGAGAGGAGCGTGACGATGTATGGGGATGGGATGAAGAAAGTTAATGTGAGTACGTGGGAGGCTTGTGGGAGGGCTGTTGCGGGGTTGTTGTCTCTTCCCGTGCATTGTCAAGATGCCACCGATGGTGTCGCGTTAGAGAAGTGGAGGAACGAAGGTGTTTACATATCGTCTTTCCTGGTGTCCCAGCGCGATATTCTAGATAGTTTACACCGGGTGCTCGGGACGCGAGATGCGGATTGGACGATCAGATATGAGGATGTGGAGAAGAGGTTTGGGGATGGGATGAGGGAGTTGGGAGAGGGGAAGATGTTGGGGTTTGCGAAGGCGCTTTATGCGGGGGTTTGGAGGAGTGAGGGGGCTGATTATGAGAGCATAGGGGGTTTGGATAATGGGGTGTTGGGGATGGAGAAGGAGGATTTGGATGGGGCGACGAGGAGGGCGGTTGAGATGGCGATGGGGCCGATGGGGGATGTTGAGGGACAGTTCAGGTAAAGGGACTTGGTGGGATGTGGGGTTGTGACGTTGTAATTTGAGCAAGGAAAGAGCGATGATGATATCAAAGATAGGGAATCGTGTAGCTAAATTCGATGATGTTGTGGAAGGCGCGATGATGTACCGTCGGCCATCATGGTTCATGCTCTAATAATCTAGCTCCTACCCCACCTACATCCTCTCGTTAGCATCTGCCTTCCCTCGCTCATTTAAGACAACTTACCAAGATTTCTCCTACTCGATACGCCTATTTCCAACTCCTACCCTTCTCTATCTTCCCCTCGCTCACAGGTGAACCAAAAACATTCCATTGCGTGGAGCTTCCGCGCACCTGCCATACCGATTCTTCGTCCTTCTTGTCATACGATTTCCTCTCCTTCCATTCTTTCCACCGCTCGCGCAGCGATCTCTTCTCTTTGATGTCCGGCTCAGGCTCGGGCTCTGCCATGAGGGCGGCGATGGTTGATCCTGGGACGCCACTGCCTTTGTGACGCGATTGTGCGAGCGCAGAAGCAGTCTGGGGATTGACGGGTGCTCCAGTTGCAGTTTTGCCATGTTGCGGCGGTGGCTTACGTGAAGGCTTGGGGTCGTAGGATGTTGGTTGGTCTGGTTTTGGACTCGGTTTTGTGCTCGATGATGTTGGGGTCGATGCCGCAATCTCTTTCGCCTGCTCGCTTTCCTTGGAATCCATCGCGTGGGTAGCCGATACGCGCGAATTCGGCGTGTGTGAAGATTATAAGTACATCAATTGTTCGCGGGATAGAGACACGGCAATCTGACGGTGCTCATGTAGGCAACACAGCGACCACGATACATGTTGTTTTTCAGCTGTAGCGAGTTGGAGTCAGCCTTGGCCCACATCTGCAGTCAGCATCGTACCACCGACGCATCCTGTCACCTGCCAGTGCCGAACACCCGAATGCGAATGGAACATATGCGATGACAGGCCGTGATGGGCGCGCCGAGAACCCCGAGTCGCGGCAACATCGACCCAGTATGAATCTCAGGCCTCACAAGGTGTTAGAGCTGACACTCGCCACGACGAAAGATTCTACCTAGCTAGGTATGATATCGCGATAGTCACGATATCGGAAGGACGATGGTGTTGATGGCGCGCGACATTGATGACGCCATGTACTCGATTTGTCAAAGCTTCGGTGGCGGAAGCTCTCCGCCACCCCTCCGCATCATCTACAATCCGCCGAAGAACAATTACTCCTCCAGAACAACGACCACCACCTTCCCGTAAAACGAATCCACATGCGCTTCCCTTCCTTCCCCACATTCCTCCGCGCCTTCCACACGGTCACCAACACAACAAGCGCTTTTATCCGATCGAGTCCTGCTAGCACGCTCGGTCGCACTATCTACAACACGCCACAGCGCGCTGTCATATACCGTTCGATGCCAAATATCCCCTTCTTGGGCGCCCTTTTCGGATCTTCTAGCAGTATGGCGGACAACACAAACTACCCAGTCCAGAAGCCCGAGGGCGAGTGGCAAGCACAGCTATCGCCAGGTACAACAGCACCTGTCCCAACTACCAGCGCACGGTCACTAACACTACGATAGAGCAATTCCGCATCCTCCGAAAGAAAGGCACCGAAATGCCCGGCTCCAGCAAATTCGACAAGCACTACCCCGACGCCGGCGTCTACAAGTGCACCGGCTGCGAAGCGCCCCTCTACAAGGCAAACCACAAGTTCGACTCTGGCTGCGGGTGGCCCGCGTTCTGGGATGCCGTTCCTGGCGCGGTGGGACAAAAGCCTGACCCCGGTCTTGGCATGATGAGGACGGAGATTGTCTGCAATAACTGCGGAGGTCACTTGGGGCATATCTTCAAGGGCGAGAGGTTCGGTAACCCCAAGGATGAGAGACACTGTGTGAACGGTGTGTCGATTAACTTCAGTCCTGATGATAAGAACTGAGCTTCTGGGTCATGGATTGGATGAGTTGAGTGGTGTATATATGGGGATGTAGGGCTAAGTGTATTAGTGACGACGAAATGAGAGACGACGTTGATCAGTGGCTCTGATAAACTCGCGCATGACGTGCAGTGGTTGCTGGCATGGCGTTCTTCATCTTATAGCGGACTCGGTTCAGCTACTTGAGCCCCCACGTCATCTCAAACAGCTATATGAAGCTGCAGATTGCTTGAACTGATACATACGACCATAGGATCATGAAAATTAGGCTTCCCGTCCGCTCAGCCATATACAAGCATGATACCGGCGGATTAGTAGTTAGGTGGGTGACCACTAGCGAATCCCCGCTGTTGTATGTTTTTGCTCTTTTTTGCCCCGGATCTGAAATGAGGACTCTCGAACCCATGCCTCTCTTTCTGCCCTTGTCCTCTTTTTTTGCTCTTTTTGGCTGACCTAGCTGGACGAGCAAGCTGATTCATCCACCTTATACAAGGAAAAAGCTAAACAGGCCTACAGCCTACATTAACGCTAAGTTATCTATCTTGTAGGGTTTTAAGTTAATGCAGGCTGTAGGCCTGTTTAGTTTTTTTCTTGGTTGGCGTGCATCTGTAGATTTATCACACGGCTCGTCACGCGACGCTGATAGCAAACGTTAGTTGTTCCTATATCTATCAATTTCCTTACGCATCCAGTCTACAACAGACACTCTAAGGTAAGATGACATCTAACAGCGAAGACTACGCTAAGACCGATGAAGTCGACGGTTGCGCCATATGCATGAAGAAATGGACCACCGCATGTACTGGATGCGGCAATATCGGCTACTGCTCCGAAAAATGTCGACAAGAAGACGCGCCGCAGCATAATACCATCTGCAGCACCTTCAAGGACTTTCAAGACCGGCCAAGCGAAAAACACTTTCGAGCCCTCTACTTCCCTGCCGATGAGCCCAAGCCACGATTCATCTGGCTCTTCATGGACGGAGAGAGTCTCACCTGGAAACCCAATCCTACTGATCTGGCCAAGTATGTTCCAGGATCACCTTCGTCGGCGGACTCGTTCATAACAGATCACCGTGTCGTGCAGGATAACCGCGGCCAGGGTGATCGCGGCGAGAACCGAGACCTCATAAAGGGTTTATGCATCGAGTATGATCCAGTGTCCCAGGGTCAGTCCGGCAGCCACAAGGGTCCGGCTTCCATGGAGCAGTCAGCCAACATGTGCTTTGCTAGAATGATTGAACCAAAGGTTGGCGGTCTTCGTCGTGGTGGCCAGGTCGGTCGTGTTCACGGGTATAATCCAGACTTTGGACAAAGGTCAGGGGATGTGGATTGCACTTCGTTGGGTCCGCTTCTGGCATGGGTCACGGAGGTTACTTTGTATTAGACATCTAGGGGAATGCTGCGGATCTGACTGCGAGGATTGTGTTCGTTCAGGACATAGTGGGGCCCATGGATATGTATACCAATAGAATAATGACCAGCATTCAGACCCAACGATAGATCGATATACCCTAGTAGCTTTCAAGCCAGAAAACCTTTCGCCAATTTTCACCATAATCATGCATGCAATTCACTAGTTTCCCTGCTTTTAGCATAGTAGTTCACAGTGCATGCCCGGATCATTGATCAGATACACTACCCTCTCACGTACCTCGACAGCTCCACCTAGGTTGCCTTGACCAACTACCACGACGCGACTGCACACGCAACCCATCAACACTGACATCCTTGTAACACGCGAGCATGTCCCGCTACCGCCTCAGCAACGTCTTCAACGACCAATACACATACATCTACACCACACTCACAAACCCAGACCCCGAAGCCGAATGCTTCATCTGCAAAACACCCTACTCCCCCCACGACCCCGAAGGCTGCCAAGCAATCCAACTCCATCCCTGCGGCCACATCATCGGCCACTCATGCTTCACAGAATGGATCAACCGAACACCCCAATCGTGCCCATACTGGTCCCACCACCTCGCTCCCACGCTAAAAGCCTCAGCCTCAGACGATAGTCTTGAAGTCAAGTTCCTCCGTTGGCTGGTGCATACAACATGGATAACTCACATAGACCACCACCACGACTTCCACCTTGAGATTCTCACCCCGCTCAAATGGCGCAGACGCGCACTGTGTGCCGTGAAAGCGCTAGCCAAGGGCACCCTCACAGACGAGGACGTTAATGTGCTAACCAAGGCTTCTTTCCTCACGTTCGTGGACCCGGCGTTTCGGCGTGAAATATACGCAAGCATCCGTGTTTTCGTGGTAGGCCTTGGGGTAGAGCTCATGGGTCGTGCGATACGACTTTACTTCTCGATCGGATCCGATAACGTGCTTTTGGACTTAGTAGGTAGGTTGGTGTGGTTGACCATTCTTATAATTTGGGTTTCGATACTGGTATACGCGTGCGCTTATTCTGGGGTTACGTGGTGGGTGTTGAAGTTGGGTGTGCGGCGACGTGGCGCCACTGAGCGAAGGAAACGTTTTAGCATGCAGGAGTTGTTTTGGAGTGGTTTTCGATTGGGAAAGAAGTCTAGATGAAAAGAAGGTATATATGTACAAAGATATAGGTATGAAGGTTACGGGGCTACGTAGATCCAATAACCCTAGAATTTTGGAAGCCTTCACTGACGCTTGACGTACTCGACAGGTCCGTCGTACTTGTCCTTCCCAATTACGTAGTAGTAACCCATTGCAAAGACGACAAGTACAGCGAACATGACTATGGACCAGTTCATGTCTGCCAAAGACGGGTTTGGCACCTCGGGGAAGCAGATCAACACGATAGCCAAGGAAAGGTATGTGATAGCGATGATGTTGATGTAAATGCCCGCCTTGCCAAGGTCGAATTTGGACGGAAGGAGTGGTTCTCCGAGAACACGTTTCCTGATCATGCAGCCGATGACGATGATGTTGGCCGTGAAGATACCGAGACCTCCTAGCGCGATGACGATGTTGAAGGCGATGGCGGAGCCGATGTTGATCAAACTCAAAAGTGCGGTTCCTACGAGGGTAGCGATGACGGAGTTGACGGGGATGTCCCAGCCTGGTGGTACCTAGGGTGAGGATTAGCGAAAGGATCAGGAAGCGGGAAGGATGAACGTACGTAAGCGAACCAGTTGGAGAATGGGAGACCTTGATCACGGGCGAAAGACCAGAGTTGGCGGGATGAAGCTGTCACCTGGTTGACCGAGCTGAACATGAGCAGCGAGCAAATGAGTACTACCAGGATGTTGGTGGCTACGATAGATCCCGTCGCATTCAACAAGATCTGGATCCATGGCTGACCAAGCGGGGTGGCGAGAAGCGTGTCGAGGTCGTTGCCGAGAGTGGAAAAGACGGTGACAGTCATGATGAAAGCCAATGAGTAGTTCACGACGGCCGTGGAGACCATGGCTCGAGGGCTGACCCACGCAGCGTCTTTGACTTCCTCGGCGAGATGGACGGCCAAGTCAGGGTCTCCAAGGGTAAGGATGGGACCAAGAATACCGACGAGAGTCGCGAGACCTGTATTACCCCAGCCACTGGGGTCTTCAAAATGGGTCCATGTGGTTGTGACATCTGAGCGCTCGCCCATGACCCAGAGGACGACGACGAAGGCGAAGAATCCGAATACATGGAGGACGAGTCCAAAGCCTTCCAGCAGGGGAAGCTTCCTGACTAGAACGGTGTTGCACAGGATTGAGAATGTGGTGATGGCGATGGACAGAAGGGTGCTATGCCAGCCTTGGATGACATAGGATGGCTTGTTCAGCACGATCAGAGCTGTGAACTGATCGGCGACCGCAAAGGCCGTACCAGCCATACCTGTTTGCCATGCGATGACACACAGCCATCCTGGATTGATCGGTCAGTACTGCATACATGCTGCGTTCAACCATAGGTAGCATACCGGTGATGTAGCTGAGTATCTTCTGATATTTCCTGGGTGCCAATTCCGATATCCAATGGTATTGCCCACCAGCTGTCGGAGCCCTATGTTTGTGTCAGTGAGACGCATTAATGCCTTATCAATTTCACAATCACCTACATGGACACCATCTCTGCCAATGAAAGCGTGACGAAGAACATGCCGAAGCAGACGACGACAAGTAACCAGATACCGCCGGCAGCTCCTCCATTGTAGAGCGAGATTCCGATACCACTACAGCAACGTCAGCAGTCTTCTTCGTCTTCGAAGAACAGTACCATACATCAATGCGTATTCCCATGTGCTGCCAAGCAGTACAGCAAAGCCGAAGATGGTCAAGAACTTGAATTGCCGCTGATCTCTTGTCAGTATATCGGAACCTCTCCGGCGGGCGTTTTCAACATACTCTCAACTCCTGCAGCTTGCCCATGCGATCCATATCGCTCTCATCACTATGTGTGCCATACTTTTCACCCACGGCAGTCTGGTTCGCCAGCTCGATGCTGGTGGGAGAGTCGATCGCCTCCGAAGGACCCTTCATCATGCTGTCGTTCATTGTCGCGATGCGTGCATGCCACAATTAGATGGAGGAGTGTAGTCGGTAACCAGTAATCAGAAGAAAAGAAATTCGATAGGGTGGTTCCGATGTCTGCTGCGGGACGTACTATCCCATTCGAGAGGGTGGCGCTGGGTGGAGCAAACGCGCTCAGCTGTCTCGTTCGCTTGGAGACACTGCAGGGTATCTGGTACGTAATAATGGGAATCAAAGGATCTGGAGGATCAGATTGGAGACCGGGGGCCTGGCGCATGCCGCGAGCTTGTTCGCGTGTTCGCAGGTTTTCATGTGGCAGTGGGACTCTCTGGACGCACTGGACAGGTTCAGTATGCTCCGCAGCACGTATTGTAGGATCTAGATGCTCTTCGCTTATGCGCAGAGAAATGGCAGTCACAGAAGGACCGGCTTGCGCACCGGCTTGCGCCGCAGAACTGCCGTTAGTCTAGGATCCTGACGGGTCGGGAAGCCCACGCGTGGGATGGCTGCTCGACTGCATTTCTCCTGCGTCGGAGCTTTAACCGGATGGGAACATCGTCTTTGGCGACTGCAAGCATGATGACACAGTGACATGTTGATCTGCAACATCTTCGTGAAACTGCCATGCGTGGAATGCAGCCAGAGATACGATGCGAAGATCGAAGATGGGGACAGTGGAGTGGTACATGTGAAATGAGAGATTGTTCTGAAGGATGGTGTGGGGTGAGTGGCGCCGACGGGACGGCTGGTGGACTTCTGGAGACTTCAGGCCTTTAGCGCAGGGAAAAGCTTGAGTCAGCCCGGGCCGCTGGCCGCGCGTGTCAGGACTCGAGGACAGCATTGCGAGCTAACAATCAGACCACGCCGATGCGACTCACAAATACTTCCACGAGTGAAGCGAGCCGAATACATATTAACGTGATCTTGTCTACTGCGCGCAGTAAATCTCTGACGCGAGAAGCACCGAGAGTCTTATGACAGACTCGCCGTCTCCCGTACAGCCCCAAATACCCGGTGGGAGCGGGCTGCGGGAATTCCGACCTCTTCGTTTTATGTATGTACAGTAGGGCCGTACTGCATACTTGTTGCTCTCTATATACAGGCACGGCACGGTTCGGTCAGTGCTCGGCCGATTGCGCACGAGGGAAAATTGATCGGGATTGGATGCTGGGTATCATCATCTCGGCATCCCAGCCCTTGGCGACCAATGCAGGCAAAGTCCCGGAGGCGAGCGGCTATCAGGAGCCAAGGTAGCGACCCAGTATTCAGGATCACTCTTGCGCCTCACGTTCTCGAGTGTGATGGAGGGACATGAGTGACACGGTAAGATCTGTTCTTTGAGGCCCGACATGTTTCCAACAACCAACGGTGTCCAGAACCTTATTACTGCATGTCGTGCGCAACATAGCAGCCGTTTATAACGCCTTTTTGCCAGTCTGTTTGGCCTCACGCGACAGATGGCGTACTCATCCAGTTCCTCGCCCCTGGCCAGGGCGTCGGACAACCGCTTTGCCCGCATCACAACCACCGATCAGGGCGCGACGCTTTGGGTCGTCACGCTTCTTTCCATGATTTATGCGATCCTGGTACTTGCAGTTCGCCTTGGGTTCACGAAATGGAGAGCGCATACCTGGGACGACTTTGTCGTCGTAGTAGCACATGTACGCGTCGCGAAGCCCCGCCTTTACTGCCGTTATCAGTATGATCCGAAGCTGACGTAAACACAGCTTTTGGCGTTCAGCATGTGGGCCTTCTTGTTTTCAGCGCTGAAGAGGGGTCTCGGGAAGTCGTATAGCATCTTAGAAGATGCAGAGATATCTAAAACACAAGAGGTCAGCCAAAGGTCTCTTTTCTACCTCCGTTTCATCCAACACGCTGATATACGCTGACACTTTGGATGTCGTCAGCTTTTTTATACGAGTTGCATCCTGCTATACATTGCACTCGCTTTTTCGAAGGTCTCTATCCTCATGCTCATCCGGTCTGTATTCGCGCGGAACGTCAAAGTCTCCATACTAGCGATTGGCACCGGCGTCGTCGTAGTGGTGTTGGGCCTGATCGGAGCCATTGCAACCAGGACCGAGTGTTCAGTTGATACCGTCATACCGAAGCCTGGAGACGAGTATTGCGTCGATTTAGTAAGTCTAACCTCCGTCTGCTTCGAAAGGCAGTATCAGCTCGCATGAGTGGTGCCTCATATCTGGTGCCATCCCTGTCAATGTTCTCTTGTCAGATCCACACATGTTTCCGCACAAACACTGACTTGTCAGATTCCCTGGCTCAAAGCAATTACTGTCGGTGACATGATCACCGAGGTAATCATCATGGCCTTGCCGATAATAGGCTTCCACTCGTCTCTCATGTCGATCAAAAGTAAATTCATCGTTGTGATGGCCTTCTTTACGAGGATACCGTACGTATGAGCCCCGGATCGAGCTGGCAACGACACTTACACCTTTTAGAAACGTTGTCTTCGCTCTTATGCACTTCCTCGCGTATGCCGAATTCGTAGAGAGCCGTGAATCAGCCATTCGCATCGTCCCGACCGTCGCCTGGCAAAGCGTTCTTCTTTCTTTCAACCTCATATCCGCAACAACTCCACTCCTCAAAGGCTTCACCCAAGGATTCATGACACAAGGAGTATCCCTAGGATACTTACGTGAGGGAACAACAGGCGGAGGTAGTGGGATGTCAGGCGGCAGTTATGAACTCAAGTCCCTGACGAAGAGTACTCGATCGAAATCGAAGTTCTCGTCGTTGAAGCTGACGCCGTCGGATGCGTACGCCACCACAACAGTCGAGGGGAACTCTGAAGAAGATACTCTCCCACCCTCAAGACTAGACCGCTTAAGGGGCCAGGAGAGCTCCAGAAAATCGACCCTCCCACCCTCAAGGATGGACTGCATGAGAGGTCAGCGAGCGGAGCGTGCATCTATTGCAAGTCAAGAGTCGCAAAAGATCATGATCAAACAAGAATGGCAGATTTCGGCGGCATAGACCGTAGGAGCATCTTTTCTGAGCATGTGGTGTTGTATGCCATGGGCTTGTACCGTAGCGTCCATTCCAGTTTATATGCAGGTGCCGAATTCGTTCTTCCCTTGCGCGACAAGGATTTTGCGATGCGCTTACCTAAGCCGCCGGGATTACCCCGCCAAGTGGCGACGCAACATTAAACTCCGACATCTCCACGCACCCAGGCAAGCGACCACCCACACTTCCCATTATCTCTTTACCAATAAGATGGCACCACTAATCTTTGGGACGGCACATTTCTGGTTCCGGGCGCTAAAAACGGTCCTGAGATAGCGATCATGGCGTACCCATTCTTCGTCGTTCCCAAAATCGCTTCTTCGCTACCTAGGTACAGGACGAATCGTCACCTGCACGCCCTCTACTCTTATGAGACCTAATCACGGAAGGGAATATGCTGAACCTTTGCCATCAAGCTTTGGCGCGAACGCAATAGCACCTGACGATGGGGATGAGCCCACGAAAAAGAGGACAGGGTCGCGTGACCTGCATGTCGACACTCAGGCAAACACCACATCTTGCGATATCGACGACGTCGTCGAACAAGACAAGCCTACGAGCCAACCAGTATCATGGAGCGAATTGCCTCGCAAAGACCAGCTCTTCGTCCTGATGCTTGCTCGTCTGTCCGAACCTTTGACTCAGACCTCCCTGGGCGCATATCTCTACTACCAGCTCCAATCCTTCGATCCATCACTCCCAGAGTCGACCATCTCCTACCAAGCTGGCATCATCGGCGCAGCATTTCCGGCGACTCAGTTCATGACCGCCATGCTATGGGGACGCTTCTCAGATGCAGAGTACGGTGGTCGAAAGAGAACGATATATCTTGGGCTACTTGGCACAATGCTTAGCATCATTGGCTTTGGCTTCTCGCGCAGTTTCGCCATGGCAGTGGCCTTCAGATGTCTTGGTGGTATACTGAACGGCAATGTCGGCGTGATGAGGACCATGATCAGTGAGATTATTAAGGAAAAGAAGTACCAGAGTAGAGCTTTCTTGATCTTGCCTATGATCTTCAACGTCGGCGTCTTGGTCGGACCTATCATGGGTGAGTATCATCGAGTGGTCTACATAACAGAACGTACTGACAGCAAGCAGGTGGTGTACTCGCAGACCCCTTTGCCAGCTACCCTTCCCTATTCGGACCCAACTCAACCTTCGGCGGCAGGGATGGGGTACAGTGGATGAAGCGATACCCTTACGCCCTACCCAATCTCACGAGCGCCGTGTTCCTATGCCTATCATCTTTTGCCGTTCTCTTCTTCCTTGAAGAGACAGGTGAACTTTGCAAGGACAGGCCCGACCTAGGTCTTCGCGTTGGCCGATGGATACGTCGGACGATCTTTCGCCAGAACATCGCATCTGAAGATGGGTACAACGCTGTACCGGAGGATGACTTTGAGCTACAACCCACACCAACGTCGATACATGCACCACCGTCCGCTAGTCTTGACAAGCCGAGGATTATCGTTAGACAGCAGCTACCCTTCCGTCGTATCTGGACTCGCAACCTCGTCACAACACTCTGCGCGCACGGCGTTCTTGCTATGCACGTAGGTACCTTCAACGGCCTCTGGACTATCCATCTCTCTACGCCTCGCTTCGACCGTAGTCACCCATATCCTCCTGGTTTCACCCCTCACGGCCTATTCTTTACCGGCGGCCTTGCTATGCCTCCAGCGCGTATCGGTATAGCACTTGCTATCATCGGTGTCATCGGCATACCCTTGCAACTCTTCGTTTACCCACGAGTTGCGCATCGTCTAGGCACCGTTGGTTGCTATCGCATCTTCCTCGCTCTCTTTCCGGTGATGTACACGACAGCTCCGTTCTTGAGTCTGGTTCCCAGCTGGACGTCCCCGCCTGATGGTGTCAGTGGACCTTGGATCTGGATCGCTATTACATGTGCTTTGTTCATACAAGTCCTCGCTCGCACATTCGCCCTGCCGTGTACGGCTATACTCATCAATAATGTCAGTCCACACCCGTCTGTGCTGGGTACCGTTCATGGTATAGGCCAGTCGGTATCTAGTCTTACCCGGACCGTGGGGCCGATACTTTTCTCCTGGGTATTCGGCAGGGGGCTGGACATGGGCATGATCGGACTGGCTTGGTGGTGTATGGCTGCCGTTGCGATAGCTGGCTGGGTGCTTGCACAGGGTGTTAAAGAAGGGAATGGACATGAAATACTGCTAGAAGGGGAGAAGGAAGAGTCTGACTGAAAATGTAGACATTAATTCATCTAGTAATCTCATTCCTGGTGCAAGATTCGATCACCACCTGGCAGCTACTATCTACTCAGGCTTTCTATCCTCTATCCTTATCACTACTCATCATGCCTACGCTACTTTCCACAAGCTGTAACCTGCAACGCACGGCTACCTCGTATCCTCTTCGGTCCCTCATTGGCAGCTTGCCCAATGCATATCACACTCTTATATACATCTCAGTTCACCATCGCTAATCTCCAAGAGACCCCCCCTACCATTATAGTCCTTGACCTCAAGCCGCCGCCCCCTCCCCAAACCCCCCATTCACCCCCTCCTCATCCGCAAAAAGCCCAAACACCTTCTCAATCCTCCCCTTCGTATCCTTCGCAACCCCATCCACCTCACCCCCTAGTACCTCCATAAAAACATTCAACTTCCCCCTCCAATCCGCCACATCATCGCTCTCAAAGTCAATGTCAGGATTAAACCACTTCGCCTCCGCCGCATCGATGACCCATTTCAACGACCTGTTGAGAAAGACGAGGTGGGAGCCGCGAATTTCCTTGTTGGACTGCAGATGGGTTTGAAGAGAGATCATTTCGGAGGCGAAGAAGGTTTTGAAGTGGGGGTTGCAGAAGGCGGAGACGAGGCTGGAGGAGGAGGTGATTTTTGAGGAGGAGAAAGAACCCATGCCTAGTTCGACGTCGGGTTTGGATGCGGATTTGGGGGGTAGTTGGGGAGGGGTGGAGCGAGGTTTTGAGGGGAGTTTGGCCGTAGCCTTTTCGGTTGGTAGGGGTTTGGATGGTAGGTAGCCTAAGCCTGAGAAGAGGGGGGTGTTGACCTTGGCGATGGGGGCCGTGGTCACGGGCTGTGGCGGCTGCGAGGGTGTTGGTGCGGGTATGGGGGCTGTGGGAACTGTAGGTGTGGCGGCGACATGGCTTGTAGAAACGTCCGGCGCATCTGCCATGTCGATCTCTGGAGAGGACATACCGCTGTTGGCTGCGCTTGAGCTGCTTGTAGCAGCACTGAAGCCCATCGCGCTGGGCTGTGTACCCGTCGAACTTGCGAGCGTACTCGTACTGAAGGTCGACGCGGTACCCCAAGACCCAGCCAAACTTCCAGAGGTATCACTACTTGGAGACGACGACGGTGATGACGGGGCAGATGTAGGCGGACTACCAAACACGCCACCGCTCGCCTCGAACGCGGCCAGTTGGTCCATAGTATCGTATTCACACTCCATCTCGTCTCCCTCCGCCTTTCTCAACTTCTCTTGTTGCTGCTCCACAAAGCCGTGTGCTATGGACCGCCATGTGGACTTATGTCGCGTAAAGCGAGCGTCGAAGGGTTTGTGCATCGAGCTTGAGCTGGTAAGGGGAGGGGGTTGGATGTCTATTCGGCGAGGTGTCTTACCGCGCAAGTCTGTCGCTCGTACTGCTGGGTGTGGCTCGCGATGGGTATGGACGGACAGGTAGGTGATGTGTGTCTTGGAGACGCGGGAGTTGGAAGTGCGGTTGTTGGGGGTGCGCTTGTAGGCCATGGCGGCGGTAGGTGGTGACTTGATCATCTTGCCTGTTAATGACAGAGGCGAAGATGGGCCGGTGTGATGGGTGTTCGCGAGAGATTTGGTATAGATACGATCGTGCTTGCGAGTAGAGGACGGCAAGTCTGTCCAGCTGGGGCTATCGTGAGATGGGAACGCGACGGTGACCGCGTATTGCTAGTGTTGGTCCAAAGCGCCGTCAATACTGCGTGACCTGCGGCAGTGAAGCGGTGTATAAGTCGAAGTGAATGGAGGTGAAAGGGCGGGCAAGAGCTCACGAACAGCCTGGTGGGCGTCACGAGCACACGCCCTGTCACTGAATCAACAACTGAGTGAGCGCTACACATTGTACACAGCCATTACTATGTCTTAGAACGTAGACAATACTTATTGAGAAGAACTGGAGTAAGGAGGGCGTTGTGTAAGTACCACTTCGAAGCTCGACTTTGCGGTCCATATGATATACAATCAACTGATTTCTACTACGCGTTTGGGATGATTTATGTATTTATACTATCAGAAGAATATATATCTGCCTCTACACCCCCATCAATCCAAATGATAGACACTCACCCTTCAGCCCTCCTCTCAGACACCATCCCACCTTATACAAGAAAAAAGCTGAACAGGTCTGCAGGCTACATTAAGCTAAAGCCTTGCAAAGTAGGTACCCTGTCGTTAACGTAGGCTCCTAGCTGTTCAGTCTTTCCCTTGTATGGGGTGATCCACATCGGTGGTATGCACTGTACCCACCTCAACACTAGACATAAGCTCTATTCGCCACGTCCAAACCTCTTCTTCGGATCGTAGCGCTCGATCTCTCCGCGAGCAGTCCGACTCGGTCTCGGCTTCGCTCTCGGCTTACTTACCTTGTCATCTTCCACCTTCTTTTCTGGCTTCCTTGGCTCTACTTCTAATCTACTGCCACGCTTGTTTGTGGCAGCTGACCGTTCATGTGCTCGACTGTCCATCTCCCCAGTAGAACGCGCTGCAAACATCTTTTCTCGGCGTCGTGCCTCAACTTCTCGTGCCAGTGCATATCTGTCGACCGGCGCAGCTGGCTCCGCTGGTGGTTCCACCACTGTCGCACGTTTGCTGCTACTCCTCTCCTGTGAATCATCGCGACGGCGGCGACGTCGTTGTTTGTCTCTCTCTTCCTCTTGGTGACGATACTCTTCCTCTTGAGCTCGCTTCTTCTCTTCAATCTCCAATCTCCGTTCGTTTTTTGCTTCACGCGCTCGCTGTATCTCGGCTTCTTCCTGCTGACGACGCTTTGCCACCCTTTCGCTGGTGATCTGCTTCGCCCGCTGTATCTCGGTTTCTTCCTGTTGACGATGCTTCTCTCGCTTTTCGTCGGTAATCTGCTTCGCTCGCTCCATTCGCCTGTCGTCTTCCTTCTTACGTTCAAGAACTGTCTCGTCCAAGTCACTTGAGCGTTGTGCTTGCTTCTCCGTTCCTTTCTGCTCTTTCGCGTCGGACTTCACAAGACCATGTGTTGGGCCTGTCTGGCGCGGCTGCGACTCTGTCATGTGGAGTCGACGGCCTTCTTGGTATGGGCTCTCAGATGGTTGTCTGGTGCTGCTTCTTGCACTATAATCATTCTCATCGCGTTGTGCACCTGGAGATCGGCTTCGCCGTCTGGACTCCCGATCTCTTCGTGAATTGCGCGAGTGGCGATTATCTTCGGAGTGATGTTGGCCTTCGCGTGGTCGACTCGGAGAGATAGACCGACCACGGTACCGTGTTGCAACCCCGGAAGCTTCGTTATATTGAGTGCATTCCATCGCACTTGTCGCGTCATTGCGCGCGACACTGCCATCTTTGTCATGTACAAAATGGTCTGTGTTAGTATCCGTTCCGATAGGGGAAGGATCGGTATGAGTGGCTGACGACTTGAAGCGTTTTGGCGGTCTGGTAGTTACTTCAGGCTCGCATTGGTCGACAGACTTTCTCTTCTTGCTTATGTTAGAAGGCGATCGAGATGACGTGTCTGAGTTCGTATTGTTCGACATTGTGGCGTCGTAGACAATATACTCATCCGCAAATTTCTCGCCGCCAAACGCAATGACGGTCCCCTCATTGCTTTCAATGACGGTCGGTCTCTGTTTTTGACACTCCGTGGATTCCTCCTCGCTTACTTCTGAGCTCTTTCTCTTACGTTGCATTTGTTTCTGACCACTGTCTCCGTCCGCATCTTGCTTTCTGGCTTCTTGTGGGACGAGTTGAACGTAGCCGTAATCTTCAATGGACGGTGGATCGGACTTCTCACTCGGTATGCAGGTTTTGACAGTACGAATGTGCTGGGGTGTGCTCCCATTGGCACTGGCGTCGTGTTGTTTGAGTGAGGGTGGCGTTGGTGGCGGCGTAAGACTTGAAGCTGCGCTGAAGGTGTACTCCCTTGCTTTCACGTCAACCCCAGCCTCTGTCTCTGGAGTCCCGCTATTCGAGAGTTGCGTGGGATGGGTGATAGTGGAGCGCGGCTCGATCTCTTCGCCGTAGATGTTGGGTAGGGAAAGGCCGTCAACATTCGCGTTGGCCGCGTTGCCTTGGTGATCAAACTGAACACTGGTGTCGAGCTGCTCTGAGTGTACGATGTAGTCGTCTCTTGTTTCCGACCAGACCTTGTATCCTGCCGATAGAGCTGCGTCGCGCTGTTTGTTAACTAACAGCGATGCCTTGACCTTTGCTTTTAGAAGATCCTTCTTGCATTGCGCTACATCCTTGGTCTGGAACGATGAGGTGACATAGTTTGCGCGCCTATTGGAAACGTCTGGAGCGGGGAATGGCGCGCTCTGAACGACGTCGTGCGCTGATGGTCCCGGCTTGTAGCGACCAAGTGCTGCAGATCCAATTTTGCTGACGAGCTCCTGGTGTGTAGGCTCGCGATCGTAAATCTTGCGGAAACCATCGGCATTGCTTGGTGGAAGTGTTTGTATACCAGCACTGCGGTACAGGACGTGTCCTTGAGTAGTCACCTCGGCTGTCGATGGGACCGCCTCATGTTCCGACGACCCAGACTTGCCGTGTTTAATCGATGATGTAGCAGCACTAGAAAGCCTGCTTCCTGGTAGAGTTGCTGCGCTGGTAAACGTATTGTAGGGAGTTGTCTCGGCTGCAACGGCGCCGATATCAGAAGTGGTGTTGACATGTTCCAGAACCTGCTGCAGGCGTGCGTCGGCGGCGGGTGCTCGTTCAGTCATGACTGGTGATGTGGATACCGCGGACACGTGAGGATAGTTGGGCTGCGGACGTTGACAAGTGATGTCGCAATATGTGGTAATGCAAGTCGGTGGAAGGTGCAAACGTAGGATCAGGGTCCAGCTGGACAATAGCAGCTAGCGCGGAACCAAGTCGAAAATTGCGTGCGTCAAACACCTCGTGAATCCGACGTCTCAATAAAAGTGAATACATGTTTCCCGAATAAGAATGTGTCTGAACTCTTACCCCATCCATTGTTACATTGTTTCGATGACATTATGTGAATAATTCCTCGCCCAAATTGGCATCCAGATCTGCGAAAAGAGATCAAGACGTGTACTTTTCCGCGCAGTGTCCTAGCTCCTATCGTAGCATATTCGCGATTATGGGTACAGAATCATGCGCAAGTAGTCGCTCCAGTACGGTGCATTGGTGGTGAAATGGCTGAGCTGTAGCGGTCAATACATCGCTCTTTCGATCTCAACGTCCTCATCACAAAGCCACCACGTGAACTTCGTAGGGCTGAAGTCGCTGGTGTATGCCTCTTCTGAGACCTCTCCGACGTTTAAGTCTTGCGAATGAAGTATGCATGGCGTGGGTTATACCAACTAGGGAACGATATGGTATGTGTACTCTGTGTTGAACGGACGCGGTGGCGAGAGGCAAATGAAACTGATGAGGGTTGAGGAGATTAGAAGGTCCTGGGGTTATGAAGCGCTTGTGCTCCATTACTTTGTTTTCATTCCTTTGTTTTCATTCTCGCCCTCGTGTTTGAGAGACACACTGTGACAAGGTGAGTACGTGTTCCTGCTCTGGCACTCACGTAGAGTTCCCGTGATTAGTGATGGTAAGATAGATAGCCGTTACCGTCAAGCTGTCAATGGTCGGAGGAAAGCAGTTCTGCGTTGGTAAGCGGAGTCTGAGTTTTGACAATTTGTGCATCCGTTGAAAGATTGAAGCTTCCATTGGGCCGAGAGTCGCTTCCCCGTCTCTGCGGGGTGGATATCGATCTCAATGCAGCATGCCTTGCGAGACGCATGCGTGCTGCTTGGCCAAAAGACGCGTAGGCGTGTCGTAATTCCAGGGCAATCGAAGATGCCAAGTTGGTGAACCGTTGACAAGCCTCGATCGCAAGCGACTAGCAAGCGACGTTAGCTATAGCGCTGAGCTTGGAAATGTCGATGAGCTGCGGTCATCAGTCGGTCGGCTGTGCTGCGGGCCGCGATGAAACGCCGCTGGGGTGCATTGCGCAAGCATCGTCAACATGCCACAAGCCTACTTGGCGTCATAGATCAGAGGGTCGACTCTTGCGAACGTCCAATGGCAGGTGGGATGGTGAAGGTACGATATACGAATGAGCGAGTGAAAATGAGAGCAGCACGTGGATGCGCGAAGAACGGTTCGCGCGAGGCTGACTTGACCAAGAATAGCGGATAAGCGGGGCAGATCAGCGTCATTGGGCAGCGGCTCCCGGCGCAGTTGCAGGGATGTGCGTACAGCCTCATGGGAGACGCGTATCCGGTCGACCAGCCATAACATGTCCACGCCGCCGCCGCACATCCACTAACCTGCCAGCTCATCGTTCGTTCCAGGCACCTGGTCACATCACAAACCACACGCAGTGTCCAGACGGGTATAATATGACGCAATGTTAGACGAGAACCTCCCCAGTACGTGTTCCCAGCCCAGGCGTCCGGGCCAATCGCCATATCAATAGCGGTAGTGGTACTAACCAGTCTCTAGCCTTCTTTCTCAAGGCCTCGACCGACAAGCTCAAGCACCACGAATCCTTCTACTTCACCCAGAACGGCTCCGAGCCCGAGGCGCAATATGCCCTCCACCACGTCGACCCAGCCTCCCACGAGGCGAAGAACACATACGCCGTAGCCTTGTTCGACTCGCGCAACCCCGAGGTGCTATACGGCGAAGTGCTTGCGAAGCCGGGATGGTCGCACCCAACATTGTCCCAGGAGGAGATTCGCAGGAATGGCGGAGTGCCTCCCCCGCCCCAGCCCATCTACCCCACCGAATTCGCTATCCAACTCTACAACCCCGACTCGCGCGTTGTCGTTAAGCACTCGACAGCGAAGTGGAGCAGCACCGTCAGCTGGGAATTCAGCATACCCCAGGTCACCTTCAGGACGCCGAGCAACTCAACGCTCGATCGTAGCCTTGCGGACCCCGGCAGCGATGCGAACACGCCCAAAGTCAACTTTGCCTGGCGGAAGGAGGGCAGGCTGGGCAAGGACATGACATGCTACATGACGGGCAAATCGACCGATCCCACCGGCAAGAAGGTCAAGAAGAGCAAGGAACCGGATATCGCCGTTGCCCTGTTCTCCGGCCTGAAGGAGCTTACAATCATGGAGTCCAACCTCTACCGCGTCGAGATTGAGGACTACAAGGGGCTGGAGGTAGCTTTGCTCATCGGGGCCGCTGTAATACGCGATCTGTTTTTCAGCGATCTGAATGACCAGTTCCACATCAACGCCAACATTCGAAAGAACAGCGCGGGTGTGCGCGCGAGGAAGGGCTCATCGCCGCTCGAAGGCCCGAACATCACAGCACCAGTCATGACACCACAGCCTCCTCCGCCGCCAGCCTACACCCCTTCATCGTCGCAATACCCACCCGAGAAGGTTGCCCTTCAGCCTGCCGGCGGTGCTGGCGCGAACGCACAAGTACCCCCACCTTCATATACCAGCAACAACAATGCCGCCAAGCGCTCCTCGCTACCTCCGCTAGCTACCAACCAGGCCCGGCCCAGCCAGCCTCCACAACCCGTCCAACCTCAGCGACCTGTTCAACAGCAGCGTCCGCCTCAACCGCAGCGCCCAACACAACAATGGCAGCCGGGGCCAAGGTTAGATCCACGGGCACAGTGGGAGCTTGATGCTGAGACGGCGCGCTTGAAGGCACAAGTGGAGGCCGAGGCACGCGAGCAGAAGCGACAAGAAGAAGCGAACCGAAAAGCTCGGCGCAGGCAGGAAGAGGAACAAGAGCGCAAGACACTGCAGTTCCTCGAGCAGGAGCGAAAGCAGAAGGAACGCGAAGAGAAGGAGCGACGCCGGAAACAAGCTGAAATCGACAAGGAGACAGAACGCTTGAAGAAGCAGTTTGGCGACCAGTCCAACCTCCTCCAGCGCCCGTCCCCACAGCCTCAGCGACACTCCTCACCCCTCGTACAGGGCGGATGGCAGAACCAGCGACCGAGTCCAGCGCCCCGCCCTGCACCCGTTCCCGCACAACCCCCGCGCATGCAGCAACCCCAAGGTGTATACCTGCAAGCACCTGTACAACATCGACCCGCTGCTAGTCAGAGCAGCTTCTTCAGCAATGGACTACCAAAGCCGGTTGCCAAGGCTAAGAAGAGCTTCTGGGGCTTAAGAACACAAAGTGAGAGCAATGCCGAGAAAATCAAGAAGAAGAAAAGTAGCATGTTTTGATGAATGGTTCTTTGGCGCTTGGGTCAGGGCATTGGGAACGGCATTGGGTATGGAGTTTTTGATTAGTGAGTCTTTATGATACCAGACCTTGCAATACAGTCATGTTTATCTACGATCATCTTGTTTTCTGTGCGTGTTCGTGTTGATCTGCGGTACCTACCTAGGTAGATGCCATGCAATAATTCAGGCTTTACCTCGTTGGTGCTAGCGTTCCCGCGACTTCTACATCCAGATTCAGGACCACACCACACCACGTCCAGCATCGGCTTCCCGCTTCTTCAATCTTACATCAATTACATTCACCTAAAGTTCAGCCACGAAGGTGCCTAAACCCGTGCCATCACCTCATCTCCTCATCCCTTCAGCTCGACGTTGCCCGCTCCTCCGCGAAGCGAGCACACCTCGCCAAGACCAAAACTTGCTCACTTGAGCACATTATCCTGGGGTCCGTATGCAGGGTCGCAGCTATAGCTCGCGCCACAACATGTTCGCTACAACCATGAGTGGATGCGTGCACACCGGTTCCAGACTTTCGAGTAAGACCTTGGGTTTCCATTGGATCTTACACACAGTGTCCTCGCTTTCCCAATGCCGTGGTCGCGGTTAGGCGAGGAAAGGCTTCTTCGTGCTTGCTTGGCAGCGGAACAGAGGTAGATGGATTCCGCTAGTAGGACAGGCATCTAGGTGGAACTGGATGTGAAGGAGGAAGGTGTGTTGGAAGTTGGGGTGGGTATAAATGGTTTGGCAACTGCATGTCAGATGCTGTGCGCCTGTTGAAAGAACGGTTCTCTTTTCCCATCTCAAGTCTTTCTGCTTTCGCATTTCCTCGTCTCTACCTACCCTACGACTGAACCTACTTGCAGTATTAACTAGTAACTGTAACTTCAATCATGTTGTCAACCACCCTCCTCACAGTCGCCGCCCTCGCCGCGGGCGCAAACGCTCACTTCCGCCTTCTCGCACCCACATGGCGCGGTAGCTCCTTCGAAGAACCAGCGAGCCAATGGATCTACCCATGCGCCAATGTGAACGAAACGACCGACATGGCGAACCGTACGAATCCCATTCCTCTTTCTTCTCCCCAACATCCTGCCTACCCATCCTAAACCCCTCCCATACCATCTTGTCCCCCAATCCCGGCTTTCTAACCCACTAACCCACCCACAGGAACTCTCTGGCCCCCCACCGGCGGCTCCACCATAATCAACGGCTCTCACACCTCAGCCCTCACCTCCGTGAACCTCGCCCTCGGCAGCAACGCAACGAATTTCAACATCACCCTTCTGGAAATGTTCAACCAGACCGGCGCCGGCGTGTTCTGCATGAAGGAAACCGGGAAAGCGAATCTGGAAGAAGGGTTCAAAGCGGCGGGGTATAGCGGGCTGGATGATGAGAGGATTGATGGGTTGATGGCTACCGTGCAGGTTATTCAGTTGGGACATAGTGGGAGTGCTTTGTATAATGTGAGTTTTTCGAGCCTGGGTGTTTTGGGAGGGGAGGGGAGAAGAGAGTGCTGAGTTTTCAGATGGGGTCAGATGGAAGCTAACGAGTGACAG